CTCGCAGTGCTCGCTAGAAAAAAAAACCTCCCCTATAACCTCCCCTATAACCCCCCTATAACCCCCCTGTAACCCCTAATAACCTCCCCTATAATGACGCTGAAGCTTTGGGAAAGGCTGCTCTGGGTATCTCCTCGCAGAGCTGTGAGGCGACTGGCCAAAGTTCTCTCATGGACTAGCATTACCTATTAACAATTACTATGAATATTACTGTGAATGCTATTATAACTAGTTTAACTATGTTTGCTATTAAGGTAGTAATTATTATTACGATTCTATTAGTACTATTTATTACGATTATCATTGCTATTAGCACAGCTTGACTTGACCGATTGTATCTAGCTCCGTGAGCGTTTTGATTTCCAGTTGCCCTTCTGCGGCTTGTCTTTGCCACCAATGCGCCCTGCCACGAGGCTTCCGCAAAAAAATCCGGCCCTGTTGCTGAGGCGGCGCACTAATACCATCCGATTCTGAGCTGAATCCAAAGTTTTTACTTCTGAACGCGGCTCTAAGACTTTCAGGTGTGAAGCAGCAACCAGTATGAACATGCGAAAGAAGGCCTTGAAGCTCAGGCAGACTTTGCTTTTTACGCGCATTTTACGTCAGCGATAAAGTCTACGGAAATAGCTTCAAATCAACGGGTATTGGCAGAACATAGTTGGAAAGAGCCAGCCTGCTCCAAGGAAGTTCATGTTCATGTTGTTAGACCGCTTCACCCCCAAACCATCCTCGCCACATCTTGATACCACTTCTCCATTCTTGATGTTATGGCAAACGGTGGAACTCTTGCACTTGCTCGAGAAACACTGGGAGCTGCAAAATCATGCATGCTCACAAGCGGGGCTATTGAGGTTGTTGCCCTGACCCCAGAATTGCCGTTTGCACAGCTTTGCGTGCAAGTCTCATCGCAGGGTTCCTGCCGTGCTCCCAGAACTCATGAAACACTACGTTTGTAGAGCATGTGGCAGTATGTGGTCTTATGCAGGATGCGGCGGGAAGAAAGCTTGTCTCTGTTCCCCTCGCTTCACAGAACAGACTTGCAATCAACACAGTGCTTTCAAATATTTCTTTCAATTTGCCGCGAGTTTAGAAATTTGTTGCTTGTTAGCTATCTACACGAACCTCTCTCTCTCTCTCCCTCTGTCTCTGTGTTTGACTCCTGAACTTTGGACCTTTCTTTGGACAGCTTGGGCAGATTGGGTAGTTTCCCCTAGTTACTAGTTAGGCTACTCCAAAATAGACACCAAGATACTCAAGTCCTCGTTATAGGCACTCCCGATATGTGTGCTTCGGTTATTACCCGAAGTCTACTTCCCTAGCGCCATGTCTAGGAACTGGATTGGTGGATGCAGTGCTGAAACATATGGGGTTTGCCCAAATTAGGGGTACCTTTTGGGGGCTCCCCATGATAAGGATTATAGTGCTTTGGGTTCTTGATGGGGGTCCCTCTATGTAGGGCAAGATCCATATCTGCTTTCAACGAACTTCCATGTGTCAATTCTGCTGCCTGAAGTCAGAGCAGAATGGACAAAACGGCTGACAAGCCGAATTTTGCTGAGCCGTTATCACTGTAGGCTAGGATAGGTCTGCAGCGTTTGCTTTATTTCCTTCCGTTTGAATACCATTAGCTCAATCCTACAATCCTCTGAGCTGCGTGCACTTGCAGTAGTCGCAAAACTCAAAGCAATAAATCCTAAGCCCGATACCAAGCTTCCACAGCTCAGACCGCAATCCTGGACAGAATTCGAGGTCACCCAACTCTTCACCGGCCCTAAAGTTTACTATGTGCAATGCCAAATCTACAGCCCAGAACTTCAATCCCAATCCCTACCGTTACCTACCGGTAGAAGGCTCGCTTAAGAAAGCCATGCCTGGCTGGCTCATCAGTGCCCTGCACTCGCATTATAGAACCTGAAGTCCGTTGGCGAGTAATCAGTCATTAAATGGTCTGAGTGACCCGAGCAGAGAAAACATATTTTCTCTGAATTGATTTGGGCTTCACGGAGGGCACACCGTTACTTCTGAAAGTCAACAGAAAAGCACACATATGAATTGACAGGCCCCGTACAGCTTGATGTGATGCCCAAGCTTGGTGGTTTGCAGACATGGTTGGTTTTGGTGATTTGATGGTTCCTTGCAAGATGTACTGCCGCTGCTGTGTGTCTTCTAAAGTTCGGAAGGGTCAGCAGCTGAGGAACGTGCCAGCTGCGGAAGAAATGACGTCCATGCTGCGCGGCGAGTTGGTGTGATGTGACTGTCAGATAGAGTTGTGTAGGGTGTACCTCATCACAGGGGCCTTGCAACTGTTGGCGGCCAGTTACACTTGATCTCAAAGACATCCCAACAGTCATCAAGCTGTTGTGAGTCCCCTACCTTGAGCCACTGCGCATTGCCGGCAATCGGTCCAGCAACCTCGCGGGGCCGCCAGAGAGAGGTCGAACCCGCAAAGCGCACCGCATAACAAAGGCGTGCAAAGGTTCAGTGCCAACACCTGAAGCTGCATGTTGCTCATCCGATAACTTTGTGTTTATGAGGGCAAGGAGGGTGGGATACTGACGCGGATCGCTTTACGCTGACGTTTGCAGAGGGTGCTCAAGTTTTGGGCGGCCACCACCGCCATCGCCCTGGACTGCCAAGGACTCGTTGCCTGTGTCACTCTGCGACAGAAGTATATTTGTAAATGCATTTTGTGGGACAGCTACCCTCTGCCAGCAAGCAGCTCGACTTTCCAGACAGGGTTTGCCCCTGCAACCACTTGAAGCCTAAACACTCCTCAGCAAGCTAAGCAGCTGCAGGCGGGCAACAGGGATGTCCAAGAAAGAAAGCGGAAAGTCTGTGCTGGACCTGGAGAGGCGACGGACCGAAGTAGTGTTCCATGGCCTTGTGTGCCCGGTTGTTGTGCTGAGGTACTTGAACCAGCCGGTCAAAGTCAAGTTCTCGGGTGGACGAGAAGTCAAGGGCATTTTGAAAGGAGACCTGCTGATGTGGAGTCGTGAAGCACTTGGCAGAATGGGGCGTCTTGTCTGATGTCTCCACGTGGTGTGCATAGACTTGAAACTCCGAAGCTCTTTCATCATCCCTCTAGCAGGACATGACGCTGTAGCAAACCTAGTGCTGGATGATGTCCAGGACTGTGAGTGATCTTGTCACCGTGTGTCCTCCATGCCCTGGCCCTGACCCAGACACCTTCAAGGTTCAGCACCTGTCTTGAGGAGTACCTTCGTGACCCAGAGGACCCCTACAAGGCGCTAGATAGCTGCTCCACACCTGCATCTTAGCGGGTATACTTCCTAACTATGCCTCAAGGTTTCGGATGAGACCAGAAGTCTTGGATTGGTAGTCGCACGTGGCACCTCGGAACCTTGCTCAGCATGCAAGGGTTCAAGGGCCAGCTTTCGAATCGGAGGGTCTTTGAGTGCACGCTTGTCGAGGTCATGCTCATATGTCCGGTGGACGGCACAGAGGAGATTGCGAATCCTTTCGCAAGTGCCTAGGCCTCCTGCTCCATGCTTCCGCGTTGTTGTTGCCAAATGCCTGAAAGACTTTTCATTTTTCAGCTTTTCAGGCGGAATGTGCAATGACCTGGATTCTCTGAGGGAAAGTCCAGGATGTGCTGCTGACTGCCAAGAGCAGGGAAAATGATGACTTAAAGTTTCAACTGCAGTTGAAGTGACATATATGGAACCAGTTGAGCCCATATTTGAGATTCATTATATACACACACATATATATATAGATACACACATACCCGCACAAAGCCTGCCTGACTTGACTACAGCACTCTACCTACCGCACCAGCTAAGACAATTAAGAACAGCTTGCGCACCCAGTAGTCAGGAAGCGAGTAGGCACCAATCATGAGCCTCACTAGGATTTGCGCATGTGTGCTGCGAGCTTCGCAGCTGCGCATGATGCCTTGGACAGCCCCTTCGAACTGTGAAGCATGGCTGCGTCTTATATGCAGTAAGAGGGGAGCAATCGCGTGGAGCCACGAGTAAAAGCATGCGCAACATCCATATGCACATGTATACTGTATACTGACTCCCAAGAGATGCCACTAACATGCGAGGTGCTTCTGGTTGCATCTGCATGACCGTCCCGAGACTCAAGACGTAGTGTGTCATTCTCAAGATACTACGCGCATGTCTGGAGCAGCATGTGAGTTGCCTTTGCCTTGCCAGAAGCGGGATGAAGCGGGTGTTTGTCCATATGTCCATGTACCACTCTACCGCTCCGTGGTCAGCCAAATGCAGGCAGGTGGCCATGGCGCGAAAAAATCATCGTGCCGTGTGGTATCATGCGCGTCCTGGGCAGCCTTGCTTTGCTGGGGTGTGCGACTCACCAGCAACCCGCAGCCCGCTTAACTGGTGCAGACTTGCACGAGGCCATGCGCTGGAGAGGCTCCACCAGGTGCCGTGCTCCGTCAGGCACTTCAGGATTCGGTTCGTATACTGGTTGCAAGTTTCTGTAGCAGCAATAGTGCTCGTGTGGCACTGTGCCAACATGTTCTGACCTAATGCCGCAGCGGTTTAGGTACCTAGCATAGGGACGGAGTCCTGGTATGCTGACTACGAGCTGAGATTCCGCAGAGCACTTAGTGGTGAGGGTGAGTTTCTGTTGGGTTACAGAAGCCTTTTCATGCAAAGGTCCGGAAAATGCGGGTGCCTGGCCCTCGGCTGGTGGTTTCAAGCAATCCCGGAAGCCCACGGCTGACCAGCTTCGTGATTATTCCGGTGATCTTCAGTTTTCCCATGTTCCTGCAAACCCTAAAACCTGAAAACATTGACCCGAAGCCCTAAGCCTCGACGCTTAGGCAGAGCCCTTGCCGTGGCGATTGTCTGCATGGTGGAGCTGGCCTGACTTCACTGGCAACTGAGATCTTTTCTCCTTGTGCGCTGCCATTATGGAGGTAACCCATTGTTGATTGCCAGGCAGTTTCAGGAGAACATCCTTGACTTCCTGCTTGGCACAGGTCCCTTCAGCAGCCAAGTGCGCGAGAGTTGCTGCATGTGCACACGGCAGTATCTCAGCCCAGTGCTTTCTGATATCCTCACGTCCTAAACGGCTGGTCAGATGGGCCAGCAGGCGGCGTGAAGTCAAAGCCTGTGACCTGCCCCCCCCTTCTACTATGCATATGTAGACGCTCTCTTCTGAGACCTCAATTTCCTGCCCAACCGGCCATTGTTGCCTGGTTGAAGCACAGTCGTGTTAGTTGCGGCTTCCTTGTTGCGGAAAGGCCGACCCCCCCTCAATGCTGCGCATTTTGTCGCGGTAATGCTGCCGGACGAGTCCAAGCAGCAGTGCAAACAGGCATGTTTGCAGTTGCAGCTTGCAGATGCTTTAGAAGTGTTGCTGCATCCTGCGCGGCAGGATTCTGCAGGAATGCCCTGGGCTTCTCTTAGCGGCGATGCTACTCGTTGCTCAGGCAGCAAGTCACCTCGCACAGGCAAGCACATCGCGTTTATCGCGTTTGCTGTTTTGTTGAAGGTGCGGCTTTCCGCCGGAGACTGCCTGGAGGCAGGGCTTTCACACCTGCCCTTGCCCTGCAGCATCAAAGGCTTGCCGCTTGCTTTGTAGGCAGATGGTCTGGTTCAGAAATCTTTGAAGTGGATGGCGATGCAGTCACCTGCTTACAGCATGTGCAACGTCAAATGTCTTGTTTACGGCGTCTTGCAGTCAGGTCGCCTGCTCTAGAATCGGCAGGTGGCCAAGATGTTGACATGGATGAAGTGTTTCCATGTTTCCCAAATCCTGAGTCAAGGCGTTGACCGATGCATCAGCTTTGCAGGTCTGGGCCCTTGTGACACGCGACCCACCCCACTGCATGATTCTGCTCAGGCTGGACAGCTGGTAGCGTCAGTTCGGGAGGCCTCGGCCCACATGACTCTTCAGACGCTTCCAGTCACCTACACCCAAAGCCTCACGGCAGGCGTCAATGCTCATTGCTCCGGGCTGGCACTTGGAGGCGTGGAGTACTGTAGTTCTTTTTCTGCATGGCATTGCCATATGAAATCGAGCAAAGCTGTTCCGCACAAGTGCTGGAAGAGAGGCGGCAGTTCATCGTTTCCTTGATGGCCGGCCAATGTGCCCTGCTGCAGCTGCAAGGAGGGTCTTGCCGAGGCCGCGGGTAAGTGCTTGCTACGTCAGCTGCCCTAGCTCAGCAGACCGTTGCAGGTGTGACGAGTCAAAGCTGGATGTGGTCGTGGCCTTCTGTAAAGAGGCGCGCTTGCAGCACATGCAGTCTTCCGACAACCTGCTACAATCTGATACAAGTTGTCACCGAACCTGACTGCGTGCTGCATCCCGCGCACGTGTAATATTGTGTGTACTGAATGCACGTCCAGAGGACCTGAGCTGGCTTGCCGACTTTAAAGACGCGAGGCAGTCAAGAAGACGTCAACAGTACCATGTAACGCTCAAGTGCTGAGCAATGCTGAAGCATGTGAACATTTTGCTGAGAGCAAGGCTGTGGCTCTATGGCAAGTGTGGGGCACAGCCAGATCTGCAGCGCTTGCCCTGCGCTGCGACCCGAGAGAGCAGGACAGGTCACGCTGCAGGGACTTCAGTGTTTTGATGTTGGAAGGTTACGTTGGAAGAGCTTCCGAATCTCGGGATGGAGTCCTTGGCCTATGCAAGCTCCACAGCACTTCCCTTGCTGGAATCGCAAGCCTGGCTTCTGCTATTCATGACTGAGGCTACGCATCTTGTGCGCAGACATGGATCGTATGCGCAGTACACGCTGCAGCCTGAAATTGGAGTAGCAACATCCGGCAGTGCAGCTTTTGGGTTACGCCAAGGTTGTTTCTACAAGGAGAGCCTTTCGAACATGCACCCCGCGTTCTTGTTGGAGATGCACTTGCGGCCATCCAGGTGCCGCCAAAGAACAGACAAGCGATAGCTTGGTTCAGAAGCCTATTCAGATGTAGACCTAAAGCCATTCGTGCTGATGCATGTAATGCGTCTCATGGAAGTTTGCAGCACACCATGGAGGGTTTTGACCGCCCCCCAGCCCATATGAAGGCGGGCGTCTACAATGTGCCGTTTGTTCACCTGAACATGCGGCGTTTCCTTGCTGGGAGCAGCCTGTGCTTAAGGCAAGCCTGGGGAGCCTAAGCCCTAATAAATCCAATACTAGTAGCAAGAGTAGTAGTATTAGCGATAGTGAAACTAATGTTAGCATAGCATTATTACTTGGGGTGACAATAGCATTGAGTTGCTGGGCCGGAAAATCCCGGACAATCAAATTTGCTTTCTAACAAGTTTTTAGCCCGACAAGGTCTACTTAAGCCCAAATCGCAATAATAAACAGGTGACAATAACATAATTGTCCGGCCGGAAACCTCCCGATTTTAATAGATTCCCTTCTACTCGTCCTACTAGTCTTACGAGCTGCAGTACCTGGCCCTACCCATGCGCCGTCATTTATCATTGCGACCCCCCTCCTTCCGTAAGCCCGGATCGCAAAACAAGTTCTGGGGGGGGGTTATTAATGTCA